ATGTTTGGCTGTGATCAGATGGATTGAAAGATTAAAACAAAGAACAAGGATAGAAATGTCAAGAGTGATAGGGAAGTTTGCAGTTTATTTATATAGAGTGACCAGAGAAGGCCTGATTGAGGTCACAGTTCAAAGGAGTAAAGCATAAGGATTCCTGAATGGGAATGTTCCAGACAGAGGGAACAGACTATGCAAAGGCCCTGAGGAAAAAGTTTAGAAGTGAAGGTGATTGGCAGGGGGTTGAAGGCAGAGAGGTAGTAGGCTCTGATCCCAGAAGGTTTGCATGTACTGTAGCACATGTGCCTGTATGTTGAGCACGATGAAATGCTGGAGCTGGATTTGAGTCAGAAAAGCGACACAGCCAGCCTTCTGCTTTAACTGGGGCCCTCTACTAACACCTTCCCAAACATTCTCAGTAAGAGATGGGGATGGGTGAAACAAGGGCAGTAATAGTGGAGTTCATTCTAACATTTCCTCTTGGTCCCTTCAAAACTGCTTACAAGTCGAATAGATTACACATTCAGGACAAGTTCAATGTCTCATTTCACCCAGTTGCCAGAAAGTTCTTCAGAGAAAAGACTTGGTCTCATTCATGTTTCAGACTCCCACAGCAGTCAGGGTCTAATTTGGAAAAGACACTCTGGGGATGTTTCTTCACTGAGTGAATCAGTGAGTTTAGTGACTCGAACACTTTAACATCTCACTCCTCATCTGGGCCAAGTCCACACCTCCACAGCCATATTTTAAATTTCCTGTATTAGGAAAATGCAAATCAAAGCCACAGTGAGATACTATCTCATACCCACTCAGATGCCTACAGTGAAAAATAACAAGAAATGGTAAGGATGTGGAGAAATAAAGCCCTTACATGCTGGTGGGAATGTAAAATCATTCAGCACCCGTGGAAAATAATTTGGTAGTTTCTCAAAGAGTTAAGTATAAAATTATAAAAATATAAAATTACTATATCGCTCAATGATCCCATTCCTTGAAATATACATACAGGAAATACTAGCTATAAAAAGAAATGAAGATATTACAGTATGGATGAACTTTGAAAATATGCTGAGTGAAAGTAAAGGATGCATATTACATGATTCCATTTGTATGAACTACCTAGAAGAGCGAAGTCCTTACGGATTGCACAGGATGGAAAGCTTGGGAAACATTGTAAGCGAAAGCATTTCTGGGAGGAACTGGACAGATCCTGCCTCAGGATGTGCACGAATTGCTTCATGCACAGGTGTTACAGTGAAATAACATACCTGGCGGTGAAGTCTAGGAATCCAGACTTCCTTTGAAGTAAGATTCATCCAAGTGATTGGAATATTGACCCTAACCCAGCCTGATGGAGATGCTGTGAGGGAGCTGGAGACGAGGGCCTTACCCTGCCTTGGTCTCCTCATTTCTGTCCATGCGTTATTACCTGTCAGTACACATGCCACCCTACTACCCAAACCCAGGTCTTCACTACCTTCTCGGAAATAGCAGTTTTACCAAAGTTACAATTCTCAGAGGCCAAAATGTACTGCAACAATAACTACAGGTAAGATTGTGTCATCTCATGAGTCAGATTTTCCAAGAACCTACTTTAATCAGCTTGCTGTCTGGCACATTACTGAAAGTTAGCCAAATGGGTAAAATTTTACCAAATTCTTGACTCAAGTTAAGTCTTTTTGGATGCATTCATACAGGCAGGGGCTCAAAATGCTAATCACATCTCTTTGTAAAGAAAAATGACCTGGTCTTGAAGTTTTCCTTGAATAAAAAGTCTGATAATAATCACATAAAGCTGTGTAAATGAAGATGTCAGTTGCCTAACAAGATAGGGTACGATAAGAACTCGGATTGCCCATTTACCTGGAATGGATTTTAGGAAGGAATGGGGGAAGCAAGCAAGATAAAGAGATGAGTAACTCTCATGGGCTACAGCAATATAGAGTTTGCTAGAATACTTGCTCAATGGGGCCTTATGTGGGAAAATATTAAGGTGTATTGTCCCAGAATGACAAAAGAAAGGACATCTGGGAAAACTGAGCCAGAAATGAAAGAGATAATACAAGCACAGAAGGGTCTGGGCCATTAGGGACTTGAAAAATAGGGTTTAGGTTACTGAACGTATATACGAGTGAAGGAGGTACAGAAAGCTGAGAGGATTAGATCAGAGGGGTAGAGAGGCAACCACAGGAAACAGGTGGGTATAATCGTGACTGAATATAGGAATCACTACAAAGCAACTGGCATACCATGAAGGCCAGATACACTGCATATCAAACACAGTGGAAAGAACTAATTAAAAAAATGATCAAATAAAACAAGATGGAGAGATTGTTGTTGGGTCATAAAAACATCATTGGCTTATTGATTTACATTTTGTACTTGCTTAGAGATCAGAGAAGCGGTATAGATAAATAAAGCATGAACAAAGCCTCACTAATTAAAGAAAAATCCTCAAGTCTGATACCCACTAAATTCTGCATAGGTGAAAAGATTAGTCAAGCATAAGTACGATTACAAGGATGAATACAGATGTCTGGATGCTAGAATGAAAGTAGTCATGTAAAATAAAAATGAGGAAGTCTCTGGTTGGTTGCAGGCAGTAAATTCATTAAGGAGGAAATCAAAGCACATATAACAAACACCAGGCAGGACAAGAAACCACAGCAAAGGCGTCTTGCTCCTGCCAAAGTTTCCAGGATGCAAGATAAAAGGTAAATGGCTCTGCAGAGGGCCAGCTTCCACATTTCTTGTTCTTCACATCTCTCCCTGAAAGCCAAGGACAAAAATATTGATGCCTATCTGTTAGCCTTGCAATTGAACTTATAATTGGAGCTTATAAAGAGGATCATTTTTTTGGTCAAGAGTGTTATTCTGTTAAGAGTTTGTCTTCTTCATTCATTTTATCATTAAATGTTTGATTCCATTATTTGCCGTTCAGTTCAAAACATTTACTGCATACTCCTTACCGGACATTGAGCTACAGCAGAAAACAAAAGTGCAGCCTCTAACCTCATGGAGTTTACAGTTAAGGAACATAAATATGCAGTTTAAGGGCCTCGTCACAGAACTATTGAAATAAATGTAGGAGAAATATAAACAGCAAAAGTAAGGTACAAGCAGGTAAGCGTGATTTTTCCAAAGCAGAGATCATATTTTGATGGGGATGAAGGAAGTCTACAAAGAGGATACTGATTAAATTAGGCTTGAAGAAGGGATTGGAGGAAAAAGTAAGAGAGCCAGATTTGATCGTGGTCCCCGTATGCATGGAGACACTAGCAAAATTAGTCACTCAAGATAGTTATCCAAAAAACAACAACAGATGGAGACTTTTGTTCCCCAGGATGCTTCTCTTTTAATCTACAGCTTCAAGTTGATGATCTCTGAAGGGTAGCACATTTGGGGGGAAAACATATGGTTGGAGCACTAGAAGTCCATAGACCTGAGTTCAAATTTCAGCTCTGCACTGGCAGATCTGGTTAGCGTACAGGTGTGAGCTGGACTTTGAAATGCAGAATTAATCTGTTGACTGAATTTCCTCATCTGTAGGCGTCGTTATCAATCACTGTTGCTCCAACTCACACAGCTTGTCATAAGGGGCGAGTGAAATCACACTAGCAGGGTTGTTTGTGAGTGCTAAGCTGCTTAATAAATATACATAGTTAACGTTTACTTGGGGTTTTCAGCCAATCACAATCCTTCCTGTTTTCTCTCCTAGTGATTTCTGCAGTTTTCATTAGAGGGGTTGTAATACATTTAAATAAATATCCCATCTTGTTTTCAAATCTGATGGCCCTATAAACCTCCCTGCAAATGCACTGGGATTCAAAATAAAGGGCTAAGTGTTATTTCCTCCCCACTGACTCTGCCTATTTAGAGACAAAGCCTGCTATTTGTTCATTTCTGAAATCCATTTGCTTAGTTCATTTTATTTACTTATGTAGTCAGTGATAACTTAGGGATGTGGTCTGTGCCTGCTGTTTCTGAAATATCGAGAACAATGGAGACATGAGTAAAATATTCTGTGAACCCTAGGTGACCTGAGAGTGTCCAAACTCCATCTCTTTGATGTTGCATTGGTCAATTTTCATTTAAGTGCTGTCAGTCCTGGGCTGCCTGCCTTCCCTCTTGGATCAATCCAGGGCCCAGCCCCCCTTGTAGAGTTTTTCTCTCACAAGAAATATCTACTTGGTTTTTGCCTTATGGAATTGATCCAGGTAGCTGGGTTACCAAGAGTCAGAACTTGGGAAAATTATACATGAAAAGGCCCAAATCAGTGCCCAAGTTATTATATGAAGACATAGTTCCCCTATGTCTCAGGGGCTCCAGGGCTGGTGAAAAGATCTTTTATGGGGGGAAAAAAAAGGATCTTGAAGTGAAACAAAGCTACATAGTAGGAACAGAATTCCAGACTATCAGGAAATTCAACCAGAGGTGGCCATTTGGAGAGGTGAAACAAGGTCAGCTAGGTGGGTGGGCAAAGGGCACTACAGAGCCAGCCGCGTGGTTTCGGTTTTGGATGAGAGTTGGACCAGACTGCTTTTCAGTCAGTCTAATCTTGTTCGATCTGTCTCTTTGGACTTCATGAGGTTTCTCCCAACCACCTTCACAGTGAGAAAAAAAAGACTTTTCTGAAATTAAAAAAGTAGAAACACTGAGTTCATTGACTGTGTTTCAGGGCCATTCTGTGGGATCTACTGTTGCAAGTCTTACCTTGGAGGCTGAGGTCATGGATATGCCAGCCTACAAAGACTCCTTCATACCCTGTGTTTGCCTTGGAACCAGTAGGAATATCAGGAGAAAAGGGAAATGTACTCAGATGTAGTTAAAGAAAAGTGATAACTGTAATTACACAAGCTTTACTTTTTTTCTCCCCTGACTAATATCTGGCTCATGGTTAACTGCTCCCAGAGCCCTTATCATGGCAATAACTAAATGGTCTGAGACTATATAAACCAGATTTAGAAAGCAAATGAGACATAGCAAACCCTATTATGCATGCAGTTGCGTAAGGTCTGTGAGAGAGACACCATGAACCACCTTGTAAGTATATTTTCTCATTTCAAATGTAGGTGCTTATGTTCCCAGAGCCAAAATAGCCATGGAGAAGTTCTTTTTCCCATCCATGGACACTTTGGATTAAACCCAAATAGAATTTTTAAATCTTAAATCTTATTTTGGCATATCATCTTTCTGTTGGCAAGTCTCTGTTTTGAAATATCTGAATGAAGGGCCTTCTTCTAAGAACTAATAACTAACTTGTTAAAGATCAAGAATCTTTGGGTGTTAAGTAGATACTCGTATTTTGGTCCACCTTCTGTTTTTTTTTACTTTTTAATAGGTAGCTCTTCACAAATTTGCATGTCATCCTTGCATAGGGGCCATGATAATCTCTGTACCATTCCTATTTTAGTGGTGTTTATGTTATTTACAAATCACCAGGAAAGAAAAGCTCTGGATATATTTCATATGCGGCAACAACTTCAATAGTTTAACAAGACAGTGTAGCCCTCGCATCTCACGTATCTTGTCGGCTGACCTCACCCCACTATACTTATTATTCATCAAGCAGCTGTTTCATTTCCCTTTGAAGAGGTATTTCACTTTTTATTATTGGAACTGCATGTAGAATATTGCATGGATGGTGTAGGGATGGGGCAAAGGGATGGTCCTGTCAATTCCAGCTGATGGTGTGAACTCTGGATCTGGGGGAGCCTTAAGCCCTGTAGATAATAATCTATTAGATGTGAGCAAGAGTTGATTGCTGAACTTTCTTACCCTAGCCTTTTTCTACCCTCACTAATTACTTCTTTTATTCTCTGATGCCAGACATTCCCTCAGCAGGCAGGGCAGGACACACTGGAAAAAAATGATTAAGCACAAATATTTTAATAGTTAACATTAACATACAATCTATTTCAAAAGGAGGTATAAAGTGGTCTATGGCCTTTTATTCTGAGGCAAGGAGGGAAGAATGAACGGAAAGGAAATCAGTTTCCAGAGGGGTGGTGGGTGGACAGAAGAAGTGCAGGGCAGCCAGGTGATTTGGAGTCTGGGTGAAGAGTTGGACCAGAGGAGCTGCCCCAGAAGGAGAGAGGAAGGTAGAGAAAACAAGACTGAGAATCTGGATTATAAGCGCGATTACGGTTTAGTCTAGTATGGTCCTGCCTGTGTGAAGATCACGTGGTGGTAGGGTTGCCTGAGATTTCGTCCAGGGATTAGCAGCAGAAGCAAGAAAGGTGTCCTTGGGTGCGTGGTTCACTTTTCCCCTGAGTAGTCTGCGTGTCTCATTCAGACGCACTGAACCACAGACTCCTGCTGTACAGTCAGACCCCATGGGCAAGAGAGATGGTGAAGATCACAAAGACGGTGAATGTTTAAATTTTTAAAATTTATTAAAGTAAAAGACACATTGCATTAATTCCCCTCAAAATACTCCCCCTGGCTTTGAACACACCCATCACTCTTGCCACTCTCTGACGAGTTCTGGAAGCTTTCTTCTGTGAGTGTCTTACTGTTGTGGCTGTCTCGATGACCCACAGCGGTCACCATGCTTCCCTTTCCTGGTCATTTTGACTTTGAGGAAGAAACAGAAGTTTCACAATGCCGGGTACAGTGACTAAGGTAGACGAGGATACACCATGACGTTTTTATGAGCTTTTCTATTGAATGGCACTTGGTGGCAGTGTTCATTGTATTTCTCATCATACCTCACAGATATGAAAGAGGACTTCCAGAACTGCTTCAGGAAATAGCAAGAACAATGGGATAAGTAAGTTTGAAAGGAGAAAAGTATTTGGTGGGGGCAGTTAATGGCAATATGTCTTTTACTTTAAAAACAATTTTAATTTAAATATTTACCATCTGTTTAGGTCACTTCTTGTATTAATCATTGTAAGAAAGCTCTGATAGGGCTTTAGGATTCTAAGCTCATCTGAGGCAAAAGAAAAAGGCCACTAACATGTGTTTCCATTTCAGATTACAATTTCCATCCTAGTGCTCTCCCTGTCTCCATCTCTGGCTCTGACGGTGAGTAGGGTGGAGAGGGTACCATCTGTCTAGACCTCTTCAAGCACAAGTATTCCAATGATGATAATCAGGCATGGCGCCCCTCAAATTTCCTGCAAGCATCCCTAAACCTGCAGGGTATGGACAAAGTACAGATTCTGAACTTTCAGATTTCCTCATTGTTGTTTGGTTTTCCCCCAGAGCACCAATGACAGCTATCTTCTGGATGGATCTGTTGGAACTCAAGTCATCCATGTCAATGCCTTCCGAGGTATGGTCAGCATCCGAGACAGCAATGTTTTGAGTGAATGGGATGGAATCTTGGACTACAAGAATGTAAGATGTGGGATACTGGACATGTTAATTACTATGCCAAATAAAGCTTTATCTGCTCCAAAATATAGCAGAGAGACGAGAATGCCATCTGCTTTGACCTTCTCTAGGTCTAGGCCATCAGTGGGAATGAGTTTCATAGGTAAGGGACCAAGCTTACCTGCAGCTAACTTCTTCCTGGGCCAGAGAATGTAGGAAGAGCTTCGCTGGTCCATGAGGATCCTGCATCCTTTTGTGTTCCTATGAGATGTTCACTTCACATGACCACTGAAGGCCTCAGTATAGAGAAAGTCATTTAAGGAGCCCCCGTGTCTTTTTTGTTGTTGTTGTTCTTTTTTTTTTTTTGTCTTTTTGAGACAGGGTCTCACTATGCAGTTCAGGCTGGTCTTAAGCTCATTTTGTAGCCCAGGCTGGCCTTGAACTCACAACGATCCTTCCGCCTTGGCCTCCTGAGTGCTGGGATTACAGGCATGTGCCATCATGCCCAGCTTTCTCCATTTCTTAGAAGAAAGATATGCCGTCGAAGTCATTTTGTCTCCATTCCAGATCTCAATGTTTATTTCAAAAGAAGAATAACATATTTTCATTTTTCAAAATCTGGCTGCAACTTGCCCATCTCTAAGTAGAAAGATGTAGCAGAAAGGTGCAAGATTAGAGGGTGGCCTTGGCCTCCACCATGCACTTTGCGGGCCTCAGTCACCCCATCTGAGAAACAGCACCCACTGCTACCTTGCTCACCTGGCCACCCAGCGGCCCTACCAGCCAGCCCCGCCCAACCACCTCGATCACTTCTGGCTGCAGGGAACATGTCAGGTGGCCAGCAATGCTCACATACAGTTCCTCTGCACTCTCCCCTGCGCCAGCCATGCTGTCGTCCCCGGACATCTCCCTTGCTCTTCACCTCACCCGCTCCCGACGTCCTCAGTGACACGTGTGCCCGGTTCCCCCTCAAGGGCACACAGTCCAGTGATTTCTAATTCTGTTGTGGGCCTGCACTTTTCTTCAACAAAATATCCCACAGTAGTCCACGAGGAGGAGCATAAGAACTCGGAACATTTCCTGGAGGACTGATTTGTGCAGCTGTGCCTGACACTCAAACTGAGGGAGGCCAAATGACAGGCTCAGGGCCCCATGCAGGGGGCGCCTAGGGCTGACCCCAGCCTGGAATCTGCACATTCTAAGAGAATGCTGCAACTTGCACAACACCCTCAGGAGCAGCTGGCATCTCATCTCAGCCTCTCACCCGCAGGACAGCTCCGGGGGAGGGAGGGCTGCTTTCTTGCTGTACAGATGAAGCAGCTGAAGATGCGGGTGGAGCACTGAGAGCCCTGATAGCTGCTGAGCAACAGAACAAAAACTTAAACTCAGCCTTGTTACTGGAGCTAAGTCCCTGCCCTCCAGTCACACCTGTTCCCAGGCAGAATACCCGGGGAATTCTGGGGAGTGAACTCTCTCTAGCAAGAGTATAGGGGACAATGACATGGGGCCCTGGGGAGCCACAGCAGTATACAATGCCAGTCCTGACGATCACCTTTGCTCTGGTGTCCAGGGCAACACACGTCACAGTAGGAAGAAAGCAAGGTGCTAGCGTCTAGGGACAGCGGGTATCCCGTAATACCGAGACTAACTGAAGGCAGGTCTCTGTTGTTTCTGTTGTGTTGCTTTAAGGCCCTCTTGGCAGCTAAGCTATTTAGCAAGATGGCCTGCGTCCTGGCCAAGATGGACCAAGAGGTCTTCCCAAGTTTGGATGACATTAAGAAGGCCATAGTCAAGCAGGTAAGTGAGACCAGCTCATTCTGCTGGTGATTTCTAACTGGCATCCACCCTCTGAGCACAGTGCTTTGCGCGTGGAAGGGGGGTACTTAGTTCATGCTCATCCTCTTTTTTTGAGACTGCGTCTTGCTGTGTAGTCTAGGGTGGCCTTAAACTTGTTATATAGCCCAGGCTGGCCTTGAACTCATAGCGATCCTCCTGTCTCAGCCTCCTGAGCGCTGGGGTTACAGGCGTGCACCACCACAGCAGCCAGCTCATCCCCATTCCTAATGCCTATAAAATCACACCACTGTGCAAAGGACAGAGGCAGTGCAGGGAATGCTGAGTCCAGCCAAAGTTGCCTTCAGATCAAATCATAATTTGGTCAATGAAAAGTCCATGCAATGACCATGTTCTGAAGTGTTCCTTAAGGGTTCAAGCCGCATGTCAGTGAGTGTAAGTTGTTGACTATAAATGGTAGAGGCTAGAGTCAGTTCATGCAGTATTCATATCCCTGAACTTTCTGTCTTTTCCCGCCCACAACCATACACCACTACACACACACACACATACACTGTGTTTAATGGAAAATAAGCCCAGGACCATGGATGCTCTTTGTTCGCCTCTTAGAGGACAAAGGGAATTGCTGCTAACAGCAAGTTAAAAACCAGCAGCAGCTCCTTGGCAAATTGCTGAAATCTCTGTCATTTGCTTAAATAACCTACACAGAGCTTTTAGATAATACATGTCTATGGCAGGAGGCTTTGCTGACTCTTGGAGAAAAGCAAAATTTTTACTTCGAGTCACATATAAATAAAGCAACTTACTAATTTTTAAAGAGCAAAGTGCCCCATTTGTCTGAATTAACAAGAGAAAGCATAAATAGTTTTTAAACTATTCCACATTATCCGAATGAAGGGAAGACAAGAAAGGAACACACAGATTATAGTTTTTTCTGGGGGAATGCTGCCCTCTTGTGGCTAGGTAGGAGCTTACACTTAGCAAAAATCCCAGGCCAAGTTTGGATTCATCACTAGTTTTGACAATTGAATCACCCACAACCGCTGTTGCCAGGTGCCCAAGGCTCAGGACCAAGGAGTCCATTTCTCCCTCTTCCTCTTTCTTGTGCCATGTCTTTATCTCACCATTTTAAATAACACCTCTTCCTAGGCTTCCACCCATTACCCCTCCACCCACGGCCTGACCTACACTGTTCTACCCAGCCGGGTTAAGAACCTAGCCCAGTACGGGACGCTCATCAAGGACATGTGCAGAGCGTTCCCCACCTACTTTGCCCAGCAGCAAAAGGAAGGTATGTTATCAGTTTATCTAGGAAACCAAGACCATGGGGACTCAAAAGGTGTAGTGGGAGTTGTCGGTCATTGACAAATTTTAATGAGAGTTAATTCTGCTTCTGTGTTATTGGCATAAGAATAGCCCAGCCTATGGTGTATTGCCCCTGCTGGCAGAGATGATTTCTTGACACCGGAGCTCCTTGAATAGGGAGCAGTTCACTGTATCAGAAGGTCAAAGCCTGTCATCTCGTCCGAGAGGTCTGACTGTCGGTGGATGCCCTCACCCGACTCAAGGCTTCATTATCCGCTGCCTAAGCAGCACAGTGCCCACATCCCACCGCTAGAGAGAGGCTTTGGGGTCCTCAGTCCTTCTTGCTCTCAAGCTTCTTGTGGGGAGGCAAGACCCCAATATTTATAGAACACTCTAAGAAAGGGGCATCTCAGTGGCTGGCACCCTGGCTTGGGATGAGGTGGGTATCAGTCGAGATCAGCTCGGAAAGATGGCGAGATCTGCCTACTTTCCAGAAGTAGTCAGTAAGGTCTCTCCCTCAGGATGGCCAGTCATTTGTGCCTTCATATGAGTGTGCCAACAGACAGGGCTTCTTTGTAGCAGGAGGAAAGCACAGAGAGCTTGAGGGGCTGTGGGATTATGGAGTATAATCAAGGATCAGTAAAAGCAATAGAAGAAGAGGGTGTGCAGCTACTTATTCCCAGGACTGGCAGGAGGGGTGGAGAAGGGAAGCTTTCATTTCAACCTCACTGTCTCTTGCTAGCTGAGCTCTCCTGAGCCCACATCTAACTTAGGTGCAACTTATAATGTATCTGCTCTGCTTTGCAGTCTTAAATTGATCTTTTTGCCAACTTCACAGGTACTGCCCTGGCGATTGACCCTAATTCCTGTTTCGAAGTCCAGCTTCTGTCCTTCTTGGGACTCTCCATCTGTGGTGAGATCCCTGGGCTCTGAGCCTGCAGGTCAGCCATGTGAAGAGAGGACCAGCCTGCCCTGGGCCGCTGACCAGAGGTCGGTGTCCAGGGACCCAGCCTGATCTCTGCCTGTGAGAAGCTGTTTGTGTCAGTTCTCTCCCTCTGCCTTTCCACCCAGTGCCAGTCTCTGTAATCTCAGCTCATGAGTGCACTTTCTCCCTGTAGGTTACCATAATAAAGCTTCTTTCATTACTGGTCTAGCAGACGGGCTCTCCCGGCCTGCACTGTTCTTCCTCAGCAATGCACATCCAGGATGTCACACACAGGCACGGCAGAAGGCCCAGCTCCTTCGACTCTCCTCTCCAACAGTTTCCTTTGGGATGTCCCCTGAGGAATCCCTGGGAATTTGGGGCAGTAAACAGACACCAGGCACAGCAGACGGGACTCTGCAGTCCAAGGCTGTGACTTTGCCTCCTGAAAACTGGAGCCAAAATTCCAAAAGACCTATTCTCTGGTGGTCCAGCCTGTACCATGAGTGTCTCTAAACAAGACCCAACAGAGCCTTTTGGAACTGATCTAATGCCTCACACAATACCTCCTGGAGCAGTTGTCTCCATCACAGATTAAAATAGGACCTGAATGTTTAGCTCTCCTTCTTTAACTGCTTCACTTTAAGGGGGAAGTCGTGTTCCCTTCACTAACCCTCCCTTGCTAGACAGTTACCTCAGCCCACTGATATAGGGGAAAGAAACTCCCTACCCGCTAGATGTCTGTACAAGTTCTTGTTCTCTAAAATTGAAGGATGAACTCTAGGAACAACAGAGGTTAACAGCAGAATCTATTTATTGGGGAAAGAAAGCTATATTTATTGGGGGGAAATGCTTTTGTCTAAGAAAGACAGATGGGGTCCCTATTGGGCTGCAGAGAACTCCACTTTTCGAGGGAATTTTATAGGGCAAATCACAAGATGAGGCGGGTCCAAGGTGGGGAAAATTACTATCAACTAATAAGATTACAAGCATAATCATTAGGTAACATTGATCCAGTGGGAAATCAGAGGGTGGGCAGGAACAAAATGATAGTCAAACAATGAGATTATGGGTATAATTGCTCAGGTAGTATTGATTGAATGGGGGTCAAATGGATAAGCAAGTCACATAGCAAGCGAGCAAGCGGGAGTGGAAAAGAACAGGGGCTTTTCCTGGAGGGGTTGGGTCAGGGGCTTCTCCGGCTTTCCCAAGGTGATCATACACACCGAGAATATCAGTCACTGCTACTATGGGGGTGTGTTCCTTTCATCTTTTGTCTTGAAGTCTGGTCCTCAATGGATGCACCTTCCCCACTGTTGCAGTGTGTCCCATCCTCTGCACTGACTCCCCTCCCTCGAGGGCCTAGCTCTATTTGTTTGCCTATATTTCTATCTAGCCTAGCTGTTTCTCATACTATCCTTACTAGGTCTGCTTCTCAGCTGCCCCAGGGACAAGCTGGCTGGCCCCAGTTCAAGTCTCTAGCTTGGGTTGGGGAGGCGCACTCACCTGGCCTAGGTAGCAGCCACCCAAGTGTCTACTCCCTGCATGAGCAGAAGCAGTACCCTTTGCTCTGCTTGGGATGTTCTCCTGTCCTTGTTCTGCTGCCTGCCTGGACTGGAGAGCACCCTGCAGCTTAGCCTGCATCTCAGAACTCGGTGTGGCTGAGCTGCGCACTCAGGCAGCCCCAGCCACCCATCGCAAGTGGAGCTGTGTCTGGCCTCCTTGGTCCTGAGGAAGGACCGCAGCCCAGGGTGTCCTGACCTGCATCCAGGTGCCATGAAGCCAGAGCACAGGACTTTCAAGGCTGCTCTAGGCTATAACAATCACCAGTGAGTTTACTTCCCGGAGCTCTGAATTTTATTTTGTTGTGTTTTAAATCTTAAAAATACATCAACATTTTTATTGAAGCATAACAGGCAATGAAGTGCAGACTTTAAGGGCACAGCTCAATACATTGTGCAAATATGCCCCTTGGCGTCATCATGCAATGAAGACGGAGAACACTGCCAACACCCCAGAGACTTCCTTCATGCCACTGCCCAGCTAAATTCCACCCACACCTCAGACCAAGGGGGTGGAGGGGGCAGTGGAGGAGCCCGGTGAAGGGCTCTCAGTGTTGACCCAGTCACCCACTTAGGTCGAGTATTTGGTTCTATATTTTCCAATCCTGGGATCTCTGCTTCAAGAAATTATATTTACATCTGCCTGAGGTGAACAAATGTGAAAGTGACAAGGCACTCTCTGTGAGGAGTAAAACTTCAGAGGAAGCAAGAAACCATCTAAGCCCTCACCGGGCTTCCTGTATAAGTCTGTCTAGCACATTCATCTTCTGGATCATCACGTGCTCTCTTCAGCCAGGTAGCTCCCTGCCATTCTCCCAGAGTCCTGGGTGTGTTGTGTCGGACCATCTTGCTCCTCCTTCCTCACTGCTTAAGGAACTCTGGTCTACAGGTTGAGCACTCCATAAAGTAATAGACTTGATACCTACTTCCCTTGGGCCCTAAGAAAGCGCTAATTATGAGTATATATATATATAACAAAGCCCCTACCTTTTTCAAGCCTCCATTTGAACACATTCCATTTAGACATACACCTGGTATGTGCCACTTTTACAACAGGACTGATATATGAAAAGGATAACTACAAGTTCCAAAGGAGATGGCCAATCATAACACTCTTTCCTGTACCTCATCCCACCCAGAATGTGCCCATTGTGAGCCAATTAGTGTCACCTTGAGTTATTTTTAGGTTAAAAGTAGTTTGAAATAGAAGCAAAAGGGTTCCTTCCTCTCTGGCAATGCAACTGGGAAGAAGAGGACTTTGCGGTTGGCAGTCATGCTGGTGATCTTGTCAGGAAGAAAACCAGTGTAAGATACTGCAGCTGACATGTGGGAAGGAGAATTGAAATACAGGGAAAGACAGTCTGGCTATCATCAAGCACCTAGTTCTAGCTACCTGCAATTTTTCCTTCCAGAGCCAGTTATATGAGATGACAAACTCTCCCTCAGCTCCAGCAAATCTGAGTTGGGTTCCATCACTTGCAAATACCAAGGTCCCATCTAAAGTATTCTACCACTGACTTGGAAATTTACTATACCCTCCTTTCTATTGTAATGAATTATTTTTATATAAATGCATTGTTTCCCTAACAAGAAAATAAATTTCTTCACTGAGTTAGCTTTCTCCCAGCACACCTATCCCATGGCTAAGCACATGACAAGTGCTTAGATGCCAAACAAGTAGATGTACAGTATTAGGAATGGAAGTAGTCAGTGGCACATAGAAAGCCTTGTTAAAGCAGTGCCCCTTTGTTCTGAACTTGCACTGAGCTGGCTAGACTACACGAGACCCAGCTATTTGATCTGGGAATGTGCCCACATGGTGCAATTTGTTTGAAATTTTGGAAATCATTTTCCTGCTGTGTATTGGCTCGGCATTCCCAGTTGGGTTTTCATTCCTGTTAGGATTTTCAGGCCATCTTTTCCTGAGAGTTCTGTGTTCCTTTTTCCTCTTCTGCTCACTCTAGTTCAGCACATAACAGTGTTCATTAAGTTTGAGTCTCTTGCTTTGATGAGTTAGAAGATGCTTCCTAAGCAGCACATGAATGGACCTCAAAGCTGAGACCTTGTTAGAGGGGATATTTTCCTTCACTGTAACAGTCAGGCTGTTTCCAGGTCCCTGTCTGTCACTGGTCAAGGTCATGGCTTCCTGAGCCCCACAGATGGGAAGCTGGTCTGGCAGGCAGATGCCAACAGAGATAGGGATTCACGTCCTGCTGCTTTGGATGCATGTGACCAACTATATTATCTGGAAGCGTTCACACAGTGTGCCCCTTATTTGAAATCCGGCACTTTTTTCTTCTAGACATCACTTGGTTTCCCTTTGCTTCTTAAGAAAATAATAAACACCCAGATATCTGTAAATATAGCATTCATGTTTTATTACTGAAGCTCACAACTTGATGGGATATTGTGTAAGATTTAATCTGGCTTCTCAATGGAAGCCAAAGGTATATATTTAAAAAAAAAAAATGAAACCAGTAGGCTGACCATCATCCTAAATGTGAAAATCTGCACAGATGGAAATTCCCAAGATGCCCAGGAGCCCAGCCTTTGCACAGCCTCCAGCACCAACATCATCTGGAATGAGGAAAAAATGTTAAATAAAGGACATTAAAAATATATTCAGATGCAACAAACGAATGCTTTTGGCACCTCTCTCGCATAAGGGTTATACTTGTAACTTCATGCTACCCAAACTTTTAGCTATACTTACATGGCAGAGAATAACAGCATACGGATTTAAGTAAGGTTAATAATTCCTGGAAGTGTTGGTAGGTCGATTTTAGTTGACTCGGTGACATCTTGTGCTGATGGTATACTTTTAATCCTTTATAAGTGCTGATGAGTGCTTAAATTGTTTTTCTGAGCAGCACTAAAAGTAATAAATGCAAATCCTTCTCTTCTCTACCTACCTTCCACCACTCCAGACAATTCTCTTTGTCATATTCATTAGAAACTTTGTACAAAACCTAGTAATGACTGCAGAGCTCTGTTACCTGGGTGAAACAGAGCTTTTATTCCCTGTCAGCACTCTGCCTGCTCTTTCCTGGGCCAATTCTACTTCTGATCCTGAGGGCATTTCACCGTGACTTCCTTATCATCTCCAAAAGATGCTGTTCTAAGGGCTCAGAAGACTTTCTTTTTATGTGAAATTCTTACGTGGGAAAAGAATCCATGGTTTTCCTCTACACCCAGAAATCCTTTCCCATCCTGCACTTTGTTTTTATTTGTCTAATTCTCCACTAGACTATGTGTTCCATGGAAGCAGAGTTTTATTCCTTTCTGTATTCCACCCATTTAGCACAATTTCCACACATACTAGGGAAACTGAGTTGAGTCATGTTTTCACTTATGTGTAATCTAGCAGAAAAGATACAGTGAAAGAATGACTTACGTGACTTTTCAACCACTTTCCCCTCATACAAAGGGATGTGCTTGCAGAGGTTCTCGATAGGTGACCCGAACAGGAACCAGTCCACTTTGGTGATCAGAGACTTCAGCGGGTTGTACCTAACCCAGGTGTACTTGTCAGAGGCCATGGTGTTCAAAGTCTAATCAGTGTAACAGAGAATGACAGCATTGAATTAGTCGGCGGATTTTGTGTACTTTTTTCTAAAACAGGGCTACTTTTCCCTTTCACACTACTAAACAGAGGTTTAGGGATCTCAAAACAGCCCCTCCTTCTGACCAATCTGTCCGCAGGGAAGCCTTTATTATCAGAGAAGCCTTTATTATTTTATTCCTGGGGGCAATGAAACCCAGAGAAAGTAAATCTCATGCCAAACATGACTCAAATGGGAAGTTGTGAGGGAAGCTGAATCCTAGGTGTCTATTCTCGGTGCAGCGTTTGTGTATTCTCACTCTGTTGTATGGTTGCTTTGCGTCTATGTGTCACTGAGTATTATAGCTTGACTCATTTATCTCCTAATCACTATTTCTTACAGCCTCGCTCTGAGAAGAGAAGCTGATCAGTTCTTTCTATGACACTGGAATTTATCATAAGTTCATGATTTAGAACTGTATGGTGGAAATCAAGCCAAGATGTACCACTCAAAAGAAAAAGGGGGAGACACTTTGATAAGCTGATTACTATACACAATGTTTTTCCTCACTCTCTTCCTTTCTCCACAGGCATCAGACTTGCATGGCTCAAGAACAAAGATTTTTTTTTTTAAGGATGCTTCATAATTACCTGCCTCTCATAGATGTACCGTTGGAGTGTGTCCAGAGCAGGGATGGGCTGATGGTCCATCTTTATAATGTAGCAGGCTTTCTGGGAAAGCACTCTGGATGCGATGTATCCCTGAGCATTAAAAGCACAGTTACAGTTCTTTCCCAGTGTCCTGGATTCTAAACTTGATGAGCATGTCTGGGTCTTAGAGGAAAGGCTTGAACATGCACTGTGAGTAGATGTTATCATTCTTCAGTCTGCAGTCAACTCTGTCCATTAAGCTGCTTCGGCATACCATGTCTGTTTGCATTGTATTTGTCATTCCTACTCCTTTGAATTGGGCAAACCCACAACTTGTGCTTATCCTTCATGTGATGGAATCAGAGTCTGAGGTCTGGGGTTTGAAAGACTGGAAGAAAGCAGCTCTCTGTCTCTTTTGATTGATTTTTTTCTGCTTTTTCCCAGTGAAAAGTAACATACAACACTCTTTAGGACAGTGCTGACCAATATCATGGTTTCTAACCACATGAAACTATGTGTGTTTGTTAGTATGTTTTCATTCTTTTATCTTTAAAACAAAAAAGAAATTGACATTCAAATTAGATAAAATTTAAAATGTACTTTTTCCATCACACATTTTGAAAACTCAGTGGCATGGGCTTCTCACTGGAAAATGCAGATACTGTATGTGTATACACCACACGTCACAGTCTGTTGGGCAGCGTTGCTGTAGAGGTGTCCCCTGCATACCTACACTTCTCTCACCCCCATATGTGCATGCTCTATCTATTCCCTCCTCCTTTACCATCTTCTACCCTTCTCTTGCTTTCTCATCCTTTCACCACCTCAAACCCAAGTAGGCTACAGAGGGATCAGTGGGAAGCAGGTGGGATTAGAAAAGCATTGAATGGTTAGGGATGTCAAAGCCAGAAAGGTCCTAAAGCCATCAAATTTTTAACCTGGGTAAAAATTTTCTCTGCAGAGTTTTAAATAATGATATATCCCCATTAGATTGTACACAACTGAAGTCCTTATAGTTCCTATAGTCCTTATAGTTTCTAGCTTTCTGAAATTTCTAAAAATTTCTAGCTTCTGAAACTTACAAATATACTGAGTTGGCTAAATCTGAGGATAGCAGAAGGGGCTTACACAAGATCGTCACCATTCTTTTCCTAAATCTACTTTGAGGATCTCCATGACATTTGGTTAAAAGCAGTTTCAGTACCAGTTCCTTTTGGATTGTATCATTTAAATATCTATGCTTTAGAATGTGCCTTGAAACTTCCAACACCAATGAGAAGGAAGCAGGTGAGGAAGTCTGTAGAGGGAAAGAAGAAAACCATGGGTAAAGGTCCAATGAGTCTGGCTGCGACCCACTTAGATTCACGGGGCCCATAGCTAGGCCAAAGCAGATTCATAATTAGTATTTGTGAGACAAATGGAAAACTAATAAATGAAGGAATGAAAAAATAAACTGTCAGAGCAAGTTTCTGCAACTTCTTGTTAATATGAATAACTAAAACTTGGAAATTACTTCTTCCAGGTAATATTACCTATATAATAGAACTAAGTGTATCAGCCGAGTGTGGTGGTACACGCCTGTAATCCCAACACTCGGAAGGCTGAGGCAGGAGGATCCTTGCGAGTTCAAGGCCTGCCTGGGCTACATAAGTGAGTTCAAGGCCAGCCTGAACTGTACAGCAAGACCCTGTCTCAAAAAGACAAAAAAAAAGAACTAAATGTGTCTAGTTGCTCTGGATCTCTGCATTTTTTGTGATTTTCTGTGATTATTCTTTTTCTTCATAATATTTTGATTTAGAAGTGTTGATTTATTCATTTATTTCTTTATTTGAGAAATAGGAGACTCTAAGTGCCAGGCATGGCTCTGATCATTCTTCTTCCTGAGCCTACAATGGGACAATGGCACCTCTCTTCCAATTTCCACCTGAAAAGGTCAAGTAAATGCATATTTTTCCTATCACATTTATTTCTTACAAATGCTTTTGCTTGTTCATTAGTCAGTTCTTTTTTATTACTGAAAGAGAGAAGAAGCAAAATTGAGAAAATTCTTAAGGAATTGCAAAGATAGATCTTAGAATTTAAGTATGTAGTAGGTGCATATCCCTCTGCCCTCTATAAAAGTCTCCTTGCTGCTTACATGTTTATAGTCAAAAACCGTGGTAGAAGAGCATGACCCCGCATGGATGTTAACAGTTGCGATATTTTTTTCATTGTCAACTTCCACTGTCTGCTGCACATGACCGCCATTGCTGCTTGGGCTGAAGAGGTTAAAAACCTAGAAATATAACAAAGACACAATGAGTTTTCCACAAATCCCATTCATTTGAAAGGCAGCTCTTTCAGCAAAACAAAGCTCACTAATTATTATGAACAAGTAACGGAAGGCCGCAGCTTCTCCACAGGGATCCCAGGTCCAAACCCATGTTCAGATAAGAAGCCAAAGCTTTTCTCCATAGTTTACCATATTACACAAGGGAGAAGCATTGATATCCCAGGAGAAGTAAGACTGACCTCATTTTAAGGCAATGGGTTGCATTTATAAAGATGTTGTGGTTAGACTGAAATATAACCGCCTCATCCTCCTCATCATTTTATTATTAGCTATTTCTGGGGTTCCATCCCAAATAGGGTTTATGGACTCTCTACTGTCCTACAGATTATTTTTTATCTTCCTTTTCTTTTCCCATTGTTTCTAAGGAACCAGCTCACCTCGGATCCATGCAATTGTGTCCCAAAGCTGGCCAGCGCCACCAGAAATGCCACCTGAAAAACAGACCAGTCACATCCATTCTTTCTGGTTAGTCACTGAGGGTGAGAACAGGAGACACTGGTGCGTGGTCGTGTGTGATTAGCAGCCCATTTCTGACTTTGAAAGCACACACATGTTTGCTTATGGAACAGGTATTTATCGAGTTCAAGCCATTTGTCAGACACACGGCTCCACTCTGCCACCCATGTTGCCAGTTGTTCCAACATCACTACCATCCAGACAGCAAGAAAACTTACAGCCGATGAGCAGAGGAGGACTCATTTTACCCTAGGAATACCCTGCTAGGATTCACACAGGCTTTAGAATACAGAAGAAGAGAAACCGTGTCCCCTAGAGAAAAAGAAAAGAAAATCTCCAATTCCTTGATACTGGCGAAGTAGACTAGACCCACAGTAATTATATGAGTGATAAAGACAGTGAATTTCTAAGAGAAACTATGAAAATAGGATGCTTGGGAGCATGGTTAACTTTTGAGGCTGAAGTCAAGGAAAAGCCCCATATCCTGCTATAATGCAGGCCTTAGTGATACTGTCAGGCAAGTGCTGGGCCAGCAGGACATGCACTTGACATGCAGGTAGTTCTGATATTTTCCTGTGGGTATGTAAGAATCTGACCCAGCCTGCTGCCCCAGTTTTTTGTCCTCTCTCCTGAACATCATAAAGAACTCTGCTATCACTGAAAGCTGGTAGAGGGCATCAGGGACAGGGCAGACACTTTTAAGAACTCTCAGTGAGACTTTTCTACTTCCTCTTTCACCCTACTCCTAGTTTTTCTCTTCTGTTAATGTGAGTAACTAAAACTTAGAAATTACTTCTTCTAAGTCATATTGCCTATATAATAGAACTAAGTGTGCCTGAGGATGCAGCATCTAACAAAGGTAGATATCCAGCCTGCCCACTGGCACACGGGCACACCTTCCTCTCTCAGGCCAGCTCTAGGAACCTCTAGGGCTCCTGTGTACTCCAATTAATGGATCTAGAATAGAGGTTTGAACAAGACGATAGCCTTAATCATATTGCGAGAGAGAGCTCAGGTAGTGTCCTCTGTCCCAAAACAACCTCTCATTCAGCACCATGATTCATACACCATGGGTAAAAATTTGTACTTTAAGGTAGGGCCTTCTCCTGGAAAATCAAAAGACCCATGGGAAAGGAAACTATTGAGGCGGACATCCTTTCTGACTATGACAGGAGGTACTTAGCATTTTGTTTTCTCCCTTAGCAACTGAATGAAAATAAGGGATAGAGAATTGGGGGAAGGGATTCCATTCTGGATCAGAACATGGTCCACTGTCCATTGGGCATTGCAGTGTGGAATGATGTCTGGGATCCGCCGGAAGACTAGAACAATAATGGAAAGAATGCTTGCCTTAAGGGAGAATTTAGACATCATGGGTAGCTACTGAAGGCACTACAGCTGCTTAAATTTTGTCCAATTACTCCTGTAAGGATCTAAAATAGATAAATTAGGGGCTGGGGATTTAGCTCAGCGGCAAAAGCGCCTGCCTGGCATGCGCAAGGTCGTGAGTTCAGTTCCCGGTACTGGAGAAAAACAAACAAAAAATAAAAATAAAAAAAAATAAAAAAAATAAAATAGATAAATTATATCCTAAATTCTCCATTTACAGGCTTGGGAAAAGTACATTCTTCTGTGCCTCAGTCTGCTTGTCTGTGAAATGAGTACAATTCTACTTGATTTACAAGGTTGGTGCGGTGGACAAATGAGGTCACTCAAGAGAAAGGCTTAGCCTATGGTTTAATATGCATCTGGGCAAACATAGCTGCTATTATTACTGCTACATATGTTATTATCTTTAAATTACCACTTTTTTTCTCTTTCATATAGTAAAAGTAGTTGCTCTAAAGTGCCTACACACTCCCCAAAACTCCTAAGGAAGTATTAAATATCCTCCAAAGCAAATCTTCTTCATATTTTCAACATTGTGTCTTACTTTTTTAGTAAACGTTTAAAAGAAGACAATGGATACACAAATATCTGACTTAATACTCATTACTATCCCTGACAAAGATAGTATATAGGAGCTCAGAAGCAAGCACAGTGTTTATCGAAGACCCCTGAAATCCATGGCATTCTGGATATGATCATTTTTTTGCAAGTAGCCACCACATAAGTACCAAGAATTATGAATAAATACTCACAAGGATTTTCATTTTGCCTGAAGGGAAGACTGTGCTGGAGCAAGTGAAGCAGCCTATTGCAACTTCTACCCTTTATATTGGTTTTAAGATGTAGAAATCTCTTTTCCTGGTGATCATACAGGAAAAGACCATGTCCATATCTCTGACACACCCTAGTAAATTCCTTTATCAGGATTGGGAGTCAGCCACATCCACTATATCAATAAAGTTCATAAGTCAGTAATGAAAATTCCACACTTGGTCACTCTGTAAATATTCTCTGCTTATCTTTTCTGTGCTGAACTTGTGAGTTCAGTTTTTACCCTTTAAAAGTATTACAAGATGCTTCTCTTACAGATATGTTTCCTATCCACATGTGAGGATATATTCCTGGAATCTCCTTCTGAAAGTTTAGTTCTTCCTTAAGCTTTGAGTTGTTCCTCTAAGCAGTCTCTTTTCATCATCATCCTGCTTGTTGAATTTGTCCCCTGCAGGAAGGACAGGAAATTCAGAGTTAAGGAGGATGGCTGGGAGCCCTGCTTTGAGAATGAGCATCCTTGTGGTTTTATTTCTTCCTTTTAGAGGTGGTGCCAATGTCCGGAGAAACATGAGAAACAAGGCTCAGAAAGCTCTCTGCCCATTCCAGGGGCAGCCAAATGTTTACCTTGAGCTTTGTCCAGAATCCCATGAAAACAGTGACTCATATATTTCTAGTTGAGGACACTGAGAAATTTTCAGATTTTGAAAGGGGAGAGAGACAGAGGGAGAGAGAGAGAAAGAAAGAGAGAGAGAGAGAGAATTTTTAATTTCTGAGTTTTAATGCCACAGTTAGAAACGGCTAGCTAGCATAACGTAAGGAAATTTTTAAATGCAACTATAAATTGCAAAATTGTAAAATTTTGAGAATAAACACCATACACAAAGAGATAATATACTTAATGTCCTTGTTCTACAGCTGAAACAACTTCCTAACTAGCAACTTTCTTTTAAATGGGGGATTTTAAAAAGTGGATATGTGGACAATTTGGAGGTTTACTTAGTTAAGTGGAATTCCCCTCCCACGACTGTTCATCTGGGTTGGATGTAAGCTGTGCTGCTTTTTTCAGTCGTGAGATCCCTGTAGCAGACAGGTTTGTGGTTTCATAGTATATTTGCAAATATTCTTCCATTTCTGGCTCCAGAGACCAAACAGCAAGCTGGCAAGGCCCTCGGATATTAATACTGATGGAATACTACGCCTCTACTTTTCTCCTATCTCCAGTAAGTCTGAGTCTATAAGATGTAGTGATGATAATAATTTAGCATTTATGGAGCATGTAATATGTCTGTACATTTTCTAAATACTTTGCATATATTTATTCACTTGATCCTTGTAACCCTATGATTCCTTCTACCCTGTTCCATTTTAGAGAGAGGAAAAAACCAAAGCGCAGGACTCCCTAGAGTCACATAACTTCTTAGGGGAGGAGTTGACATTTGAACTCAGCTGACTTCATTTTCCACCCTCTTAACAACAAAAAATACATCTGCTTGGGTTAGTTGCAAGGTAAGTGTCACATCTTGGCTTCCTAAATTGGAAGCACTAGCAAAGAATCTTCTTCTTCCAGAAGGCTCCTGGCCTGAAAGATAAACTTGAAAGTAATCAGAGCTATCCACAACTCAAGAATGTAAATTTCAACAGGTGGAATGAGAAGTTATGTTTGTCAAAGTTTTTACAAACAAAATTCATGCCTAAACTGCCCCACTCCCTGCTGAGGGGGTGAAATTGCTGAGTGTGCCCACACGGTGGGTCTTCAATGCAGTAGGTCTGAGAAGGGGCACAGGCATGTGAACTTCTAAAACTTTCATGGGTTATGCTGATTCAAATAGCTCTTTCAAATCCCATCTAGCTCCCCATAAGGAAACTGAGACTCAAACAGATTAGGAACTTGCCTGGTGAGTGATCAGTTAGTGGAAAAATGAGGCTATGTCCATGCTTCTGGCTTTGGATCTCCTAGTCTTTACTACCTAACGCATTGAAACTTTTGAAATAATACTTAAATGAATGAAGGAATCTGTATTTACTTATGGACTATATGACCATTACTTTGCCGATATAAACAATACTAACACAGATTGTTTTGCACCTGTTCATATGTCCTGGAGTGTATGTCCTGCTTGGATTACAGTGAATACATGAAGCAAAGAATTTTCCAAAAGAACTGACCCAAATTACACTTGCTCTGGTATCACTAATTCACACATCTTGCAAAGACTTGTTTTCAGATTTATTATCTTTTGATGAGCATAAAATAATATCCATCATGGTGCTAACTTATACCTACCCGATGGTATTGGAATTAATATCTTCATATAGCTTTGACCATTTGGGTTTCCTGTTCTCTAATTTTCTGGCTTTTGCCCTTTGTTCATATTTCTAATTTATGTTTATTTTTAATTGCTATACAGGAGTTCTTTTATATTATGAATTAGTATTGTTTAACAGAGAATGTCCTAGTCTATAACTTGTCTTGTTACTTTGTTCATCATGTGATTTGCTATACAGAAGCTTTGAATTTTAATGTCAAAATGAGTAATATTTTCTTGTATAATTTGTGCATTTAGTCTTGCTTATGAAATATTTCCAAGGTCTTTAATGTATTTTCCTACATTTTTCTCAGTCTTTTCACATTTAATTTCACTACTATTTTTGACTACTGTGTTAGGTTGCAATTTTTTTCCCATTTGGGTATCCAGTTTTCCCAGCATTTATTATTAAATAGTTTAGCCTTTTCCACCAACTTATAAAGGTATATATGCATACTAGCTTGATCATTGTTTCACTATTTTATTAGTATATTTATTTATCTAAATGATAGTGTTTCCCGGTCTTAACCCATTTATGTACAGTGTTCCATTTTTTGAACGCCCATAGCAATGAAACATAATAAAAGAGTTTCTTTTTGAATTCTTGTTCCTTGAATTTTTCTACATTATGTATTTCTTGAAAAAAAATTGGAAAATTGCAACTTTCAGCGTAACTGGGTTAGTTCCACTGTTTCTGCACATAAGTTTTAATGTATTTAATATCTGGTAGGTCAAATCTTCCAGACTGGTTATTTTTTAAAAATTGTCTCTGCCATTCTTATGAGTTTTCTCCATCGTTTTCCATTCCATTAATTTCTACTCTGCTTCCTTCAGAATTACTGTTATTTTTCTAACTTGTTGAATATTCATTTGTGTTAAATCTCTTTTGCTATTTTAAGGAAACTATTCAGAAATGTACACTTACCTCGATATATATTTTATGTGAATCCCATGACTATTTTATCAGTTCTTAATAGTTCATAATTTCCACTATGATTTTATGTTTAACCCACCAATTGTCAAAGAAAATCTTTTTCAGTTTTTTTGAGTAAAATTTTTCTGTTTTCTTTTCTCACTTCTTTCTCCCCCACCTCTCTCTCTCTCTGCCTCACTCGCTCTTGCTCTCACTCTCCTCTCTCATTCTTCTTTTCCAACCCTCTTTTTATTTGCCAAACGTGTATCTGCATGCACTTTAATATATCACCATTTTTAAAATAAAATTAGTACATGTTCTCTCCAAGAGAATTTTTTCTGGAAATTGTTATTGCTTTTAACAATTTCATTCAGTTCTTCAGGATTACCTTGAACTCATCCTTGCTTTTTACCTCTGCAATGTTTTTCTTCCCAGACCACCAGCCCAAATGCTATTCCTTGATCCCTCCACTGCACACTCCCTATTGTAGTAACTTTTATTAGTGAGAATGTTAGCAGTAGATTCTACAACAAGGAGTGCCCAAATCTCTGTGATTTGACAAAGTAAACTTGTACCCTTCATTCACATAAGTGTAAATGATGTTAATGATAGGTAGATCACCTACGTTGATTTTACTACTTTCCTACAAAGTAAATTTCATTTTCTTTCTTATGTGGCTTCCTCATCTTCAGTATGTGGCTTCATGGCTACTCTGGCATTGTCCAGATGACAGAAGAAGACCAACAGCGTGGAGAAAATATATCTGTTCTTGATGTCTTCAGACTGAGTGTGAACACCTCTGCTCATTGTTCTTTGGTACAGAGCAGTCATGTGGCCCCATCTAGATGTGAGGGCAATGGAGCTTATCTCTGTGCCTAAAAAGAAACCAGTCCATATCAAAATACCAACATTGTGTTCCTGCTTTGTAGCATCCCATTATTTCAACCTCAACATTACTATCAGTCCATGACTTGAAAGCATCATATTGTTAACATTTTGTTTTGTTTTGTTTTCCTGTACCAGGAATCGAATTCACGATGTCGTGCTTGCCAGGCAGGCGCTGTGCCACTGAGCCAAATCCCCAGCCCCCAACATTTCTTTTCATTCACAGACTTCTCAAAACTACCCATCAAGTATAAGATAAAATTGAAAACGTTGAGCTTGGCATTTAACTCACTCTACGGTTTTGTCCCGGAGGAACTTCCCTAAGCAGTATGAGAGAAGGTGCTGTATTTTGGATCCTGAATGTCCCATCAAGGCCCATGAGCAGAAGGGTTGGCCCCAGCATACTGTGCTATCCGGAGGTTGTGTACTCTTTAGGAGGTGGGGCCTAATGGAAGGAAGTTACGTCTTGGTGGGGGCTGCCCTTGTGGGGGATACTGAGACCCTGCCTCCTTCCTCTCTCACTCTCTTTGCTCTTTGGCCATCATGAGTTGAACAGGCTTCCTCCAACATGCTCTCCCTCTGTGGCAGGCAGCGCCACCACAGGTTCAAAGCAATAAAACCAAGTGACCATTGACTAAAATCTTGGGAACCATGAGCCAAAACAAACCTTTCCTCCTTCAACTTGAATGTACCTATTTCTTCACAGTAAAAGAAAGTTGACTAACACAGAAGAAAATATTCTAAAGGAGGAAAGAAAAAGTGACTGTAGAGGTAGAAAGAGGTTCATGTACAGGTACTAAATTGCCATGAAGGACACTCACGCCCTTCCCATTGAACTTTCCTGCATGTTCTAAACTCCTCACTTTCATCATGTTATTCTCCTTTCATAGTCCCGCTATCATTTTGCCTTTCTTCCTCTTCTTCTCTCCTTGCCTC